CAGTAATAACCTGTATTTACTTTAGCAGTAATAACCTGTATTTATTTTAGCAGTAATATACTGGATTTATTTTAGCAGTAATAATTTGTATTTATTTTAGCAGTAATAACCTCTATTTACTTTAGCAGTAATAAACTGTATTTATTTTAGCAGTAATAACCTGTATGTATTTTAGCAGTAATAACCTGTATTTATTTTTTATTACTAGTTTTGGAATCAGAGGAATGAAAACTAGTATATTTTCGTGATGACGTCACGAATGTATCTCCTCGTGAGGAACACTGACTCGAACTAGTATAATTTTTGAGCTGAAATTAAATAACTTGGGTTCTTTTTATTATTTTTTCTTATGCATTAAACTCTATTTACAAATAACCAAGTGTTATGAACATTTGGTAACACTGAAATGCTAAAACACTCTGTGAAATGTTAAAAAATGAACGTATGAAATGGTTTGTATTTTATAAGATATTACAGAACAATTCATCGATAGGTTAATTTTTTCTGTAGATTTATGTAATGATGTGGATATCCCAGAGGTGGAGCTACAGAGCTTGATGCGAGAGGATACCCCTAGATATAACCTTCGGGCTGATACAATCACGGAGTTCTCAGGTTAGTTATACTCATAACTAGTAAGTTTATCGACATAAAGAGAAGACATAAGTAAAAATAAGTTGATGAAAACGTTTGCTGACAAACTTCATCAAGAAAATACCATTATCATTCTTGCTAAATTAACAGACACCAAATATAATAATTAGAGATTGAATTGATGTTTTAGGCTTAGATTCCATATATGTTAGATAGCGACGTACATAAAGATTTTGAATCGTTCGAGCTAGCGATTTTTTTCCAAGTCTTATAGTTGGTTTTGGAAATCTGTCATCCAGTCAGTTTTAATTACAAATTTTGATCGCACTCTGTAAGAACGACGAACCATGAATTATGCTGCTCTTGGAGCTACTTCCTCCTTCGTTGATTGGGCTTATTCTGATGGTTATGATTAAACACAATGTTCCGGCACCACAGTTTCCATTGTAACAAACTTTTAAAAAAGACGGCGACATCAATCTACACCACAGATTTTGGCAGATCTTCCACACAATTTTAACTAAACACCACAGATTCCAGTGTAACAACCTTTTACAAAAGACGGCGACATCAATCTTAGACCACAGATTTTGACAGATTTTCCACACAATTTTAACTAAACACCACGGTTTCTATTGTTACAAGCTTTTACAAAAGACGGCGACATCAATCTTACACCACAGATTTTGACAGATCTTCCATATAATTTTAACTAAACACCACAGTTTCCATTGTAACAAGCTTGACAGACCTTCCACATATCCTTCACTGCACTGTTTATTAGATACGTAAGAGATAAGTATATGAACGTATGGAATTGTTGTGATTCTAGTTTCTTCAACCATCATTCTCATGAAAACAGTTGATGATTTCCAGGTGTAACTGGAAGCTTGCGAAGTTTTGGCTTGTCAGTCTTCGTCAACTTTAAATCGTTATCTAGTTAACTGTACCAGGAGCTATGTCCAGTTTCATACAAGACGTTTTGGGTCGGAAGGTTCTCTTTATTTCGTAACTTTATTTTACACTTTGAGGCTGAGAAAATTGCTCTTCTTTGAAATTCTATGTCCTTTGGTCCTACATTTTAAACTAAAATGTTTCTATACACTCCAGCCATAAATATATCTGTGATAACAGCATTTCAACGTCGAATGGTTAGAAATTTGCCGGGGGCGAATATAGGCGCTAAGCATGGCAACCTTGGAACAAAAGCTCATATCTTTGGCGAAACGTCTTTAAAATAGCGAAATTAACACCGTGTATTTTATTTTTAATTGTTATCCTTCTTATAACAGTTCGTGAAGTAGAGTTTTAAGGGCGAACTTTGTAACCGTGATGTAACAATTAGAATTGGAAGACATCCTAAAGCATGCTTACCTGCAAAGTTTTTGTTTTGTTGCTAGAAAGACGCCATCATGTAGGGTTGTTATATAGAATAGACCATTGAAGCTATACACCGAAGCGAACTTATGAAGCCAAGATGGTGTGTGAGTATTGTGTAAACCTGTGTTGCACTTTTCTTTACACATTTTGAAAGAATCCGTAAAGTTTCTATTGAATATTACCAAAAAAACAATGATTATCAATTGTTTGTATAGTGTTTATCCATACTTGTTCTGACACAATGATTATCAGTTGTTTGTATAGTGTTTATCCATACTTGTTCTGAAACAGTGATTATCAGTTGTTTGTATAGTGTTTATCCATACTAGCTCTGAAACAGTGATTATCAGTTATTTGTATAGTGTTTATCCATACTAGTTCTGAAACAGTGATTATCAGTTATTTGTATAGTGTTTATCCATACTAGTTCTGACACAATGATTATCAGTTGTTTGTATAGTGTTTATCCATACTAGTTCTGAAACAGTGATTATCAGTTGTTTGTATAGTGTTTATCCATACTAGTTCTGAAACAGTGATTATCAGTTGTTTGTATAGTGTTTATCCATACTAGTTCTGAAACAGTGATTATCAGCTGTTTATAGGTGTTTATCCATACTAGTTCTGAAACAGTGATTATCAGTTGTTTGTATAGTGTTTATCCATACTAGCTCTGAAACAGTGATTATCAGTTATTTGTATAGTGTTTATCCATACTAGTTCTGAAACAGTGATTATCAGTTGTTTGTATAGTGTTTATCCATACTAGCTCTGAAACAGTGATTATCAGTTGTTTCTATAGTGTTTATTCATACTAGTTCTGAAAC